CTCTTCCAAATAACAGCTCCAGTCCCTCAGGGTCTCCTCAGAAGCCCCCCGGAGAACCTGCCACACCTGCCTCTCCCCGCCCCCCCTTACCACCGCCTTCACGATGGCTAGATCCCTGTGCAGGGCATGCACAGGGCAGAGGGACAAGTGTCGGGGGCAAAGGGGTCAGGAGGTTGGGGGCCAGGCTGGGTGCTGGAAAGGCCCTGCGGAAGGGCCTAGGACCCCAAGACAAGCCAGATGGGGTGTATGGGGCTGGGAGGGTGTCCCCCTTCCCACCATGCCCTCCCCCCGCACCCCCCCCCACAGTGCACTGCTCACCGGGCCACCACTACAATGCCACCACCCACCGCTGCACCCGCTGCCCCGTTGGCACCTACCAGCCGGAGTTTGGCCAGAACCACTGCATTGCCTGCCCGGGCAACACCAGCACCGACTTCGACGGCTCCACCAACATCACACACTGCAAGAGTAGGTGCCGCCCCGCGCCCACTCCCTGCTCACGTGCAGGGGGCTGGCTCCCTGTTGGTGGCAAGTTCCTCCCTCCATCCTAATGCCTCACAGACACCACTCAGCCTCTCGGCCAGGCCTGCTCCGGACTCCTGGGGGGTTGGGTGCCCTGAGGGCCAGGTCTGGGACAGTGGACCCAAGACAGTCAGGACAGAGCACCAGGGAGACTTTTGATACATGGGTCCAGGTGTGGGGAGCAGGCAGCAAGCCCCCAGCTCTGAGAGCCATGCTGCTCGGGTTCTTAGCTCGTGCCTTTTCACCGCTCAGTTGACCCTTCCCGGGGTGGCTGGTGATGTTTCAGCAGGCTAAAGGCTCCTGACTTACCCAGGCGGTACAATGCTTAGTCATTGGCTGCTAACTGCGAGGTCAGCAATCCGAGTCCACCAGCCGAGGGAGACAGGCGAGGCTGCCTGGGAAACCCACAGGGGCAGCCCTGCCCTGTCGCTCTGAGTCCATGCAGTGAGTTTGGGGAAGGTTCCCTGAAAAGGGGGTGGAAGCAGAAGCTGACTTCAGGGCCCAGCCCGGCCCCACCCCAGACAGTCTGCTCCCATGAAAATGGTCACCCCAGAAAGGCCTTGGGAAGGCAGTCCCACTGGGATGCATAGGCTCACCATCAATGAGAACCCACTTGACAGCTCGCAGGGACAGCCAGGTGGCATGGAAGCCACTAGAAGGCTCAAAAGACCAAAGCCACGGCCATCCAGTCACTTCCGGCTCCTAGGGTTTCCGGGGCTATACATCTGCATGGCACAGACAGCCTCATCTTCCTCCCGAGGAACAGCTGGTGGGTTTGAACCACTGACCCTGTGGGTAGTGGCCAACACCTCGTCCACAGCGCCACCAGGGCACCTTAGCATGCGCAAAGGAAAAACGCAGTATTTCTCAGGAGTTCTGAAGTGAGGGGAGGCTTTTACAATGAAGGCTCACAGCCCCATCACAAACCTGCAGCCCTCCTGTTCCGTTCTTTGGGCAGAACCCAGATGGGTTCACTTGCAAGCTTAAGACCTGGGACCCTCACTCTCCCGTGAAAACATCCCGTGTGGCCTCCCTGGGGGACAGGGTGAGGAGGAGATGGTTCGGCCTTCCTCTGGTCTTACCTGTTGCCCTGCGTGGACTGCACACCTAAGACTTGCCTGAGACCCGAGTTCAGGCTGAAGACAGGTGGCCTAGAGTGTTTGAGTGGGCCTGCAGGGGTTCTGGATGGGACAGCTGGGCAAGATGCTGCCACAGAGGAAGGTGGGCCTCGGGCAGGCTCCAGGGCCGCCCCTCGAGGAGGCAAGGGTACCAGAGGGGGTCTGGCTCCAGAAGGGCCGGGTGCAGTGACCCAGGGAGGGACCAGGAGCCTGACCCCCATGGGCCGCACCCACAGACCAGCACTGTGGGGGCGAGCTGGGTGACTACACAGGATACATCGAGTCCCCCAACTACCCGGGCGACTATCCAGCCAACGCCCAGTGCGTGTGGCACATTGCACCACCCCCCAAGCGCCGGATCCTCATCGTGGTCCCCGAGATCTTCCTGCCCATCGAGGACGCGTGCGGCGACGTGCTGGTCATGAGGAAGAGCGGTGAGCGCCCCCTCCCCCCAGACCCCAGACCCCTGCTGTCCCAAAGTTCAGAGAGAAGTCACTGAGCCAGGGCACCCAGGCCTGTGTGAAACGGGGACAGAGACCAGAGGGGGCTAGCTCCTGCCTGGGGTCACCTAGCAGTCAGACAACCCCTGCCCATCCCACTCCCCCAAGGGGGCCACCTCTCCTGACCAGGCTGCACAACTTTGAAGGTTAAATAAGAGTTCGCTAGATGGCCGAGCCATTTACAAGGCAGTCCACGGGTGGAGGGAACTGCA